TGACATTGACACAACGTTGATTTTGCTGAGAGATTAACGTGAACCAACGTCAGACGCGGCATTCTTCAAAGCTAAATGAAAATCGAAAATTGGTATGCTTTCATAACGTTGAAACAATGCTTTGATCGAGTTGATTTTCCGTTTTGAAAGAATGACGCATCTGACGTTGGTTCAACGTTAATTCGATGAGCAAAACAATGTCAGATCAACGTTGTTTCGATGTCATATTTCCACGTTGATTCAATGTCAGTTTGCTATCTGGGATACTTTCATTGAGGGGGTTAAAAGTAAACTCTAATAGAGTATGCTTCATCCACTATCTATCACTGGCAAAGCCTAGCAATTAACTTAGAAAATGCTACCAATGTGGTAAAACATGTTAGCAAAATGTTAATTAATCATAATTAAAATGAACAATGTTAAAACATGCTATTAAACGTTAGCAAGCGAGTTAAATCATGTTAGCCATGTACTTAAACATGTTAGAAACATGTTAATTCATGTTAGCATTATGCTAAAACCTGTTAATTTATACCACCAATGTGTGAAATCTTGTTAACAATATGCTAATGCTAACAACATATTCTGTTTTAGCAAAATGCTATGTCATGCTTGCAGCATGTTAACAACATGCTAATACATGCTAAAAGTGTGATAAAACATGCTATCAATAGTAAGTCAATTAACATGTTAAAACATGCTAACAAAATGCTAATTCATGTTAGCATGTGTTAAACATGATAGTGTAGGCCTACTGTTTTTTTATATTAACAACATGCATGCTTGCTTTTACAGCATGTTAAAACATGTTAGTAACATCTTAAATAATGTTAGCAACATGTTAATTCATGGTAAAAATGTAATGTTAATTCATGTTAGCAGTTAAAGTCACGCTAGCAAACAAGTTAAAAATCATGTTAGCAAACATGTTAATTCATGCTAACAATATTTAAATGAATTTGACATTCTACAGCATGAAAAGTTTTCCATTTTGCAGGTGTTAATCGTAAAGTGGTTTATTCCCTTGTTGACTCGGCTGATGGATTCTTCTCCATTGATAAATCATCCGGGATTGTTGTTTTGGAGCGTTTGTTGGACCGCGAGGTTCAGTCTTCATACCATGTAACGGTCCGTGCATCAGATCAAGGAGTTCCTGTTCACCTTTCCTCTCTGGCGAACATCACTATCACGGTTCTGGACATCAACGACAACCCACCCGTGTTTGAGAGGAGGGACTATCTGGCCACGCTTCCTGAAGATGTCGCAGTGGGTACGGAAGTGGTACAAGTTTATGCGGCGAGTAAAGATATTGGCACCAATGCTGATATTTACTACAACATCAGATCCGGAAACCAACAGGGCCATTTCACCATTAACATCAATACAGGTGAGATTACACAGAAATTTTAAAGGTGCACTATGTAACTTTTTTGTGTTCAAAATTGACAATATTCAAATAGCGAGTCAATGCTTCATTAATCCATCTTCCAAAACGTGTTTTTGTCTTACCCTAATTGTCTATGAGAAGACTATTATAAGTGCTTATATTTTAGACATATCATGAAATAGTACTTTGCTAGCATTATTTAATGTGTTGCTATCATGTTTTAACATACAGCTGGAACATTCATGCTAGAAACTTGTTAAATCAAGGCAAGGCAAGTTTATATAGCTCATTTCATACACTATGGTAATTCAAAGGGTTTTATAGAGAAATGAATTAAAATAATCACAAAATAAAAGCAAGGAAAATAAAAAAAAAACAATTCCCTAAAATCGGACAGGTGGAGCTCTAAAACTGACTCACTGGGTAACCTCAGGTTCACTTTCCCCAAATCATTAGTAATATGTTAATTCACATTATCAATGTGATTAAACATGTTAATTCAGGCTAACAGCATGTTAATTCATTTTAGTGATGTACTAAGACAGGTTAACAACATGTTAATTCACGTAATTCAGCAATAAATGCTAGCAATGTGTTAAAACGTTAACAAATTGCTAGCAGTGTGGCAAAACATGTTAGCAGCAAGCTAATTCATGTTAGCAACATAATGTTAACAACAGGTTAAAAAAAGCTTCAATCATGCTAATTCATGCTAGCAACTTGTTAAAACGTTTATTAATTCAACGTTTGTCCCACATTAGCATTTGTCCCAACGAAATTTACTCATCTGGTTATGGTTCCCAGACAGCAAACTGACATTGAATCAACGTGGAAACGACGTCTCTCATGACATCGAAACAACGTTGATTTTGCTCATCGAATTAACGTTGAACCAACGTCAGACGCGGCGTTCTTCAAAGCTAAATGAAAATCGAAAATTGGTTTGCTTTCATAACGTTGAAACACGCGTTGATTTCAAGTTGATTTTCCGTTCGTTTTGAAAGAATGACGCTTCTGACGTTGGTTCAACGTTAATTCGATGAGCAAAACAATGTCAGATCAATGTTGTTTCGATGTCATGTTTCCACGTTGATTCAATGTCAGTTTGCTATCTGGGTTGTTGCATCACTGTACTGGAATTTATTTGTCTTTATTAATGGGTAAAGCTACAGTAACATCTTCAAGATGAGATCCTTTTCATCTAAACTGGTTATCGGCCATTTTGCAAGATGTAAACAACACTGGTCCAGAAACACTTGTAACTGTTTTCTTTATTTCACATGTAAAGAAAACATCTTATAAAGATGTTTAACTTTTTGATTAAGTTTTATATGTTCTATTGGTTGTATTTTATCCCAGCTTTTATGTAGTGTTAAAAAACTGAAACAGGAAGTGCTTCTGGACCAGTGTTGTTTACATCTTGCAAAATGGTCTATATCTTTTATGCCTAGTAGTGAATGTTTTAATCTGCATAATCTGTATCTTTCTTGAGTTTTGAGAAAGAACCATATTCATCCACACAAAACCGAAGCACAACCAATACAATGTTCTTCTGCAAAATACATGCAGTTTTGTTTTGTAACCGCTAGAGGGCCAAAAATGACATAGTGTACCTTTAAATTAGATGTTCAAATGTGCATATGATGTTCAAAAATTATGAAATTGAATGTTTAAAGTAGGCTAATTGTTATAACATAATTATGTAATAGTTATAATAAAATAATCTGACATATTCATTCTGTATTGAGTTATACGTCTACCCCTGTGCCGTGTACAGGTGCCATCTTGGTATCTCGTCCGCTAGACTTTGAGTCCTGCAAGGATTATTTCCTGACGGTTGAGGCCACGGATGGCGGAACTCCGCCCCTCAGTGCTGTTACCATGGTGAACATCAACCTAACCGATGTCAATGACAACGCCCCCATGTTCAGCCGCGACGCCTACAGCGTGTCTATTAGTGAGGACGCTAACATAGGAGACACTGTGGTCAAGGTAAGAGGTCAAGAAATTCACATCAGTCTTATTTTTGTCTTTTGAGATCCGCCTTATTATTCGGCCTTTTGTCACGGTTGCCTAGGTGACCGCGGAAGACGTCGACAGTCATGCGAACGGCGACATCCTTTATTCCATCGTCAGCGGCGACCGAGAGAACCAGTTCTTCATCGAGCCAATCACGGGCCAGATCAAAGTCAACAAGCAGCTGGATCGAGAAACGGTGAGAAACATGGGATAAAATCCCACAGATCAGGGAACAGACGAAAACAAGAAGAAATTAAATATTTCACAGCACACATGAAAGCCTTTAATAATAGACTTGGTTCTAGGGGTTATTGTATTGAAAAAATATTATCCTTGTGTCTGAGATTTAAGATAATCGTATTACACCTGTAAAACTGTTACACAACAGATAAAAAAAGATCATTATCTGAGAGAGATTCTGCTACATTTTTAACATACATTTGGCCCATTATGTTTCAAACTTCATTTGTATTTACAAGAGGGAAAATTTGCATACTTTTTTTTTTTAAGTGGCACATAATGTTATATCACTGCGACCACTAGATGGAGCTAAAGCTTCTTTGGATGATATGCAAAGTTTCCTTTTTTACTCTCATGTCAATTAGCTTAATGAAGTCATTGTTGTTTTCAGCTTACCGAGTCTGTTCAATTATAGATGGTTAAAGGGGGGTCGGATCATTTCCTGGCTCTTTTGAAATACGACTTTGATGTATGGTGTAGACATACTCTAATAACTCTCAGTGTAAATCCTCTCCAAAGTCCATTAATTGTAACTAAGCTGCAAAAAAAAAAAAAAAAGATAGAAAATATAATGATTCATTTAGGAAAATAATCCCTTCTGAATAGTGTTTAACATTATAAATGGAGTTTTGGGAGAAAATAAAATGCCATAAATGTCTAAATTCAGTCCCTTTTAAAGAACAGAGAGGAAAAGAAAATTCAAAATGGCTGACTTCCTGTTGTGTTTAGGGCTTCACTCCAAGAATCTTTTTCAAGTATTGGGACATAACATATGCCGGTTTCCGTATAAGAAACGTAGCAAAGGAGAGCTTTGTTGACATGTATTATGTATTTCATATTTTTTGAACTGATTGTACAGCACTTTGGTCAGTAGTGGCTGTTTTAAACGTGCTTTATAAATAAAAGTGCCTTGCCTTGCCTTGACATTTTGTAGGTGGCGCTGTTGAGCCATTTTGCCACACCTAATTCTGAAACTCACATCAGATGTAAATTCTCCCTAGTTCTGACACGTGCAAAGTTTCGAGAGTTTTCAAGCATGTTTAGGACCGTAAAAATATGAGGTCCTCGTTTTGGAGAAGAAGAAGAAGAAATAGCAATTTTAAGGTCTTGGATGTTTAAAAAAAATGTACAAACTGCGTTTGTGTGTCTGTATGTATAGAGCTTCAGATGATCTGTCAGCTTCTCATGGACTATTTATGACGCAGGCAAAGTGAAAGAGAATATATGGATATGTGTTCATCTCTCTTTACTTTGTACTCTCTTTTCATCTCTTATTCTGTATGTTTTTAACTCTCTCTCTCTCTCTCTCTGAATCTGTAGATGGCTGGTTACTCGTTGTCCATCAGAGCTCTTGACAGCGGGACGCCAGCCATGTCTTCAACAGTGCAGGTCAACATCGACATCTCTGACGTCAACGACAACCCGCCCACCTTCACCCCAGCCAATCACACCGCGGTCATACAGGTATGATAATGAGCGACGGGTAAATCAGCCAATCACTTCCGAGTAATTTCATCATTTTAACACGAGCTTTTATTCAACAACAGGAAAACAAGCCTTTGGGAACGAGTGTCCTGCAGCTGTCCGTCGTCGATAAGGACGCCAGCCACAATGGCCCACCTTTCCATTTCCAAATCCTGGCAGGAAATGAGGGGGCGTGGTTTAAACTGGACAGAGAGGGGCTGTTGACGTCCAATCGGGTGTTTCGTAGGTCAGAGGGCACAGAATACATCATTCACGTGCAGGTAATGAGAAATGCTGGAGAAAAAATGTAAATCTTGATTTGTTTACGTAACCCACACATTATAAATGTCTTACTGTCACTACTTTTTATCCTTACATGATTTATGTAAATGGCTGTTATTATATTTTAAAACAAGCTGCATTTGAATCAAATCACACACATTTCAATTCAAACTAGAAAAAAAGTTTGATGAGACAAACTTTAAGTTGGCTTGAGAAAGCCAGACCAGAGAGTTTGAAAAGTTTAAATTAGTTTGAAGTTTGATAGATGGATTAGTTAGAAAGAAAGAATAGTTAAGATAAGATAGATAGATAGATAGATAGATAGATAGATAGATAGATAGATAGATAGATAGATAGATAGATAGATAGATAGATAGATAGATAGATAGATAGATAGATAGATAGATAGATTAGTTATTAGAAAGATAGATTTGTTAGAAAGAAAGAAAGATTAGTTAGAAAGAAATAAAGAAAGAAAGATTCGTTAGAAAGAAAAAAGATAGATTTGTTAGAAAGAAAGACAGATAGATACAGATTAATTAGAAAAAAGAAAAAAAGATAGATTAGTTAGAAAGAAAAAAAGATAGATTAATTAGACAGAAAGAAAAAAGATAGATTAGTTAGAAAGAAAAGATAGATTAGTTAGAAAGAAAGAAAGATAGATAGATAGATAGATAGATAGATAGATAGATAGATAGATAGATAGATAGATAGATAGATAGATAGATAGATAGATAGATAGATAGATAGATAGATAGATAGATAGATAGATAGACTAGATTAGTTATGTGGTTTGATTGACACTTGATTTAGCCAATCACTGTCTGCGCTTTCACACTCTAGGCCAGTGATTCGGGTCGGCCGCCCCTGTCGTCGATGGCGAGTGTGTTGGTGCGTGTGATAGAGGAGAGCGTTCACAAGCCAGTGGCGTCACCTTTACACGTGCACATCGTCACCATGGAGGACGAGTTTCCAGGAGGTGTGATCGGTCAGATACACGCGACAGACCAAGATGCATTTGATATACTGACCTACGGACACACACACCAGCAGAGCAGCCTTTTCAAGGTATTTGAGTGTGTGTTCCATTGGTTTGCCTTTTCTTTACGCACACAATTTTTTATTTTCATATTTTATTTTCATTTAATTTATATATTTATTTATTTTTTAATTTTTTTTTTTTAGTTAAGTTGAGTTGTCAATATTTTTGGTCCATTTTCTCATAAGAAAAAAAAACTATCAAAACGAATGTGTATATTTACTCAAATGTAATTTTACTCATTGTAGTTTTACTCATTGTGCTGTCAGACATGGTCAAAAACAACATAACTCTAATTTTGATAAATTTGTGAATCAATTTCGTGTATAGTTATGTGTGGTCACACTTTATTTTAAGGCGTCCCTGTTAAAGTACAGTAATTATACATCTGAGTAATAATAATTAACTACATGTACTTACTATAGGATTAGTATGGTTTGGGGTTAGTTGCATATAATTCTGCATAGTTATAGTTATTAGTACACTTGTAACTTGTAACAAGGACTCTCAAAAAACCTTATTTTACACTCATCTGTATTTTTTCTCTCCCAGGTCAGCCCTCGAGATGGTCGAATCATCGCTCTGAGCGGGTTGGACACGGGCCGCTACACCCTCAACGCAACTGTAACCGACGGCCGCTTCACGGTGACCGTCCCCGTGAGCGTGCACGTGGAGCAGGCCTCGGTGGAGATGCTCCACGACGCCGTGACGGTCCGTTTCGACCGCGTCTCCCCTCACGACTTCGTGTCCCGTCACCTCCCTTCGGTCAAACGCGTCCTGTCCGGTGTCATGGCGACGCCCCGCCCCGACGCTCTGCACGTGCTCAGTGTGCAGCCCGTGGAGTCCACGGGGCAGCTGGACCTGCTGGTGGCGGTGGAGACGGCGGATGGCGGCGGGTTCTACAAGGCGGCGTTCGTGACGCAGAAGCTGAGCTCGGCCCGACGCCAGCTGGACCAGGTCCTGAGGGTGTCTGCGGTTCTGGATAAGAACTGCTCGGGTCTGGACTGCAGGGAGGCCCAGTGTGAACAAACCATCACGCTGGACTCGCACAGTCTGCTCACGTACAGCTCCACCAAAACCAGCTTTGTGTCGCCCAAGTTTCACAGGAACACACGATGTGTGTGCAGCGGTGAGTGTTCAGCCCCTTTCACACTGAAATCTGGTTAAAATACTGTAAAATTAACGAGTTTTACGAGTTTTTTAATGATGTGAATATTTTCTAGAAAAAAAAAATTCCAGATACAGCATATTCATTTTTCATCAATTCTTGCACCAGACAACACAACAAGATGACATTTAATAATAGTAACAATAATTTAAGCTCCTTATTACGTAGCCGAATCTGTGCTGGTTTGTATTGGCCGCCTCCAGTTTTCACTTTGTTTTGCCTCCAGCTAGCGCCGTGACGTAACTGTGACGTCGGCGCAAAAGGGGTCTATATCCATATTACTTCAATAATATGGTCTAAAGGTTTTTTTTTATTAGGGGTGGCATTTGGACTTCTGCCCTGGCATCAATAATATAGCGTTTTGAATCATTTATGCCAATTGTGTGACGTTGCAACGTTGCCTGTACATGAAAAATGCAAAAAAAAAAAAAATTTTTTTAGTAGACCTACATCATTGTTGTGTAAACATACCCTCACACTCTATATAAAAACAGAGCAAGCTAACCTATGTCGATAATACAAAATACTTTCCTTAAAAGGTGATTTTCAAGCGGCTAGCAATAGCAAGCTAGCTTTGAAAGCATAAGATCCCACCCTCCCTTAAGAAGGTCTCCTAAGCCACGCCTCCTACAAAACACATGACCGCACACAGCAGATTCTGATGTCTCAAAGCACATACCATTACAGTAATAATGAACATAGACAACTTAAAAAGCTCTTAACTTGTACCTTCTGGCTGCTGCGGTAATATTCATAAAAACATTTAACTTAGTCATTGATATCAGGAAGTGAAGAGAGTTTCAATCAGCATAAAAAAAATAAATCACCAAATCACCTACCCTGTTTTTAACACAAGGTTAAAAGTGCTCTTAACCCTTGTATAAAAGATATTAATCCAGGGTGAAGCGCAGTGTGTAAAACCCTTACAGAAGCTCACCTATTATACATGCACAGAATTACACTCTTGACCACAGTGGCCTTGCACTCAAAAACAGCAGGAACAGAAACATTTTTTTTTTTTTTTTTTTTGGAGCCATTGGGGCCATTTAAATAAAAAAAAATGTGTCTGGTCAATTATATCTCATATAATTTGGGCTAACAGTACAAATGGTAGTTTGTTCTTGTTTCGCTCAGACGGGAGTTGTTCTGCTTCGTCGGAGGTGTGTGTGGATATGAGATGCCCTGGTGACATGCAGTGCGTGGGAACAGACAGCAGCAGGGGGCCGTACGCGTGCCAGTGTCCGCCGGGGAAACTGGGAGAGTGTGCAGGTAACCTTTGACCCCTGTGTGAAGCCTCTTTATATGTAATTTATGATGTGGCACCTTCTGGAAATATTTCTTTTTCTCTCTGTGTGTTCTTCAGGACACACCTCTCTGAGCTTCTCTGGGAACAGTTATATCAAGTACAGAGTGACGGATGGCGAGAGAAGCGGAGAGATGAAGTTGGCCCTCCGGATCAGAACGCTGCAGAGCAAGGGAATCATCATGTACACGCGTGCAGATCCGTGCAGCGTGCTGAAGGTACCGCGCTCACATTAACACTCAATAAAACACGCTTACGTGCCCATATCATTCGTTTACTTAGTTCAAATATTGTTTAACAGATTGAAAAGTTAAACGTTAAAACTCAATTTTGAGAGGTTAACTGGCATGTACACTACTGTTCAAAAGTTTGGGGGTCCATAAGTGATTAAAGGAATACTCCACTTTTTTTGGAAATAGGCTCAATTTACAACTACCAGTAACCAGACAGTTTCTGGTCTCATTGACTTCCATAGTATATTTTTTTTCCTACTATGGAAGTCAATGAGACCAGAAACTGTCTAGTTACTGATATTCTTCTAAATATCAGAAAATCGGCTGAATGGATTCGAGAATGTTAAAACTCAACTATTTAACTCTGAGGGACTTGTGAAATGAGCCTATTTTCAAAAAAAGTGGATTATCCCTTAAACTTTACTGTTATAGAACCAAACTGAATGAACAACTGATTTCAACTGAACAAGGACTGAACAATTACTATTGTCTTTTTAAAGCTGCTTTACAGCAGAATTAAATTCGGTTTACATAGTGGAATTGTTATTTTCCTGTTTATCACTGTAAATCTGCATTGAAACTATCATATCATAACAATAATTCACTGAATCGTAAAACTGAAAAATTACAGTAATTTTAAAATCAAAATAAAACGCTTATTAAAAAGATGACAATAGAGTGCCGAAGTTACGACGTCACTCTGTAGGCCGAAACGCGGAAGTGAGTTAGCATTTTAGCACTACCGTTTCCCTCGCTCTAAAGTCTATGGGATTTTTGAATGGGTTTTTGCTAAATCGCCTGAAATAAGGTCTGTGGCGAACAAAGCCTCTAAATATGTTCACTTTTTGATGTGTTTTATTTTAAACTTTATTGTCTCTGCTTGTGTTTTTAGGCTTCAAAATGTATACATTTTGGATTAACTTGTAAAAATTATCTTGATGGACAAAACGTGTAAGGGTCACAACTTATTTTTTGCGATTTTCCAGAAGTCTATGGGGAAAATGCATAGCTTTTTGATCGAGGGAACCCATGCGCCGCTAGCTTCCGAGTTGTCCTACAAAGTGACGGCATAACTTCGGCACTCTTTTTATTTGTTTATCTACATGTCATGTGACCATTTATCAACATCAATATCATTAACCATGAACATGCTAATGTGTTAAATTATTGAATTATTAATATAAAGGGCACTATTATATACCCAGAGCAATGTGGTGCCAGGCGCGACGCAAGTGTGTTTTGCTAGTTTCAGCCTGACGCAGTTATCGTTTTTAGGTCCTTGCCCCCCGTTGTTTAAATTGCAAACGCACTTGCTCCCATCTGTGCGCCCAAAGACTGCTGGTCCGAAAACACGGCCTGTTTGGGTGCATTGTTGCCGCGTTGCTATTTTGAGGCAACTGAAATGGACTGTGCCATTGACCAACTGAAACCTGGCCTAAAGTCAATGGCGCAATATTTTGTTTGTTGTTAGTAATATGCGATTTGTGAGCGCGTTAGTAATATGCGCCTATAGGTCGGTCCACAAAGTATATGCGTGTACACTTTGTCCTGTAGATGGTCTGCTCGTGAGCTTCATGAACAGATCCGTTTCCTCGCTAGAGAAGAATTGTATAGTGAATCCACCATGGCATGAGTGCAACTGGCTTTTAAAGGGAATGGGAGATGAGACTCTGATTGGTTAATTGCACGTTACACACCCAAAACACACCCATTACTCATTAAGAGAATAGAGACAACTCTTTTAGACCATGCGCCGGGTGCACCGACCATTTGTTCCGTCATTAAACTTGCAAAAGTGGATTCAGACGCACTAAGTCCACTTGCACTTTAGCCAATGCGCTTAGATCCTTAAAATAGTGCCCAATATCTCAGGGTGGACGTTTTTCCATCACATTTTTACGTCACATTTAAAATACAGTCGACTGACTATATCTGCGTTTGATTGACAGATCGAAGAGGGAAAGTTGTGGTTCCAGTTGGATTGCAGCAACAGTCCCAGGAGCATCGGGATCTCCGGCCGCCCGGTCAACGACGGGAACTGGCATCACGTGGTCCTGGAGTTGCGTGGAAACTACAGCAGCCTCTCGCTAGACGACATGTACGTGGAACGGCGGCTGGCCACGGCCAAATACCGCCCCCTGGGAGCAGATTTGTCCATTTATTTCGGAGCGCAGGTGTCGCCTCCGGACGCCCGCAGCTTGACGGAAAGGAAAGGTCCGCGGGTCACCAATGGCTTTCAGGGCTGTCTGGACTCCGTGGTTCTGAACGACAACGAACTCCCGCTGCAGAACAAGCGCAGCCCGTACGCCGAGGTGGTGGGACTGACGGATCTCAAGTTGGGATGCGTTCTCTATCCGGACGCGTGTGCCGCCCAGCCCTGCCTCAACGGTGCCACCTGCATCAGCCTGCCGTCTGGAGGTGTGTGTGTGTGTGTGTTTCCTCTGGAAATATCTGGTTTTAGGATTGCGATGAGATTGGTCTTAATGTTATAATTAATCCTCCTGGTTGCTTCAGCTCGTCTGCAGTTAATCTGCTTCTGTGATGTAATTACTCGTGTTAATAAGCTTTGCTCAGTTTTGGCTTCAGTCAGATCAGCTTAGCTTCTGTCTGCTGAGTGAACTTCTTATTCACAACTACTGAGTCTGATGGAGACCAAATGACCAATTATGATGATTAAATCAGCTCCTGCTTTCCACATGCTCTCTAGTGAATCTCGTCTCTTTGCATTTCTAGTCTTGTATCATTCCCATTACCTTTCGTCTTTCCCCTTATAACTCTCTCCTCTTTTCTCGTTCGATTTTCACATAGTACTGTCTCTTCTCATCTCACTTGTTTTTGTCTAGTCTCTTCTCTCTTCTCATATTTCTGGAATTTCTCCCTTCTCTCGCATGTCTCGCATCTCATGTGTTGTTCTTGTCTCACCTTTTTACTTTCTGTTCATCTCTTATGATCTCATCTGTTATTTTCTCTTATGTCTCATCTCTTTTCATGGTGTCTCATCTTGTTTCCCTTCTCATCTTTTCCTCCTGACTGTAGTCATCTCTCTCTTTCACTCGTTCACTGGCTCTGATGAATGGAGCAGTGCGTTGTGGGAGTTGCGGTGTCGTGCCATACACATCCTCTTTGAAAAGGTTGTTTGCGCAGGAGTGTCTGCCAGACGTGCGTGTGTGTGTCTGTTTGTTTGTTTGTTTTTGTGTGTAGACCTGATAAAACCAGCGCACTGTTTACTCACTGACATTTTCCACGCCATTTCCCAGCGGCGTGTGTCTGTGCGATTGTTTTGCAATTCATGAACAAACAGTCTGTCTTGTGTGTCTCTCTCAGGTTACTCCTGCAGTTGCAGTGCTCTGTTCACTGGAGGGCGCTGTGACACAGAGATCAGTGTGTGTATGCCGAACCCATGTCAGAACGGAGGTGTGTGTAAACCCATCGGAAACGCCTTCATCTGCAGCTGCAAGAGAGGATACACCGGCGTAACGTCAGTTTACCAACATATTCAACTGTCCTTTTAGTTATTCAGCCCACATGCTGTGTGAAAATATTGAAATCCAAACTAAACCATAAAAAAACACTTTTCTTATACAAAGTATATATCTATATATCTATATATCTATCTATATATATCTATATCTATCTATATATATATATATATATATTAGGGCTGTGCAAAAATTAATTGCGATTAATCGCAACCAAAATAAAAGTCTGTGTTTACATAATATATTTGTGTGTGCTGTATATAATTATTTTGTATATATAAATACACACACATGCATGTATATATTTAAGAAAATGTGTTATTCATATATAAAATATTTATATTTATATAATATAGATTATGTATTTATAAATATATACAGAATTTAAGCGCAAATAATTCTTAAATATATACATCCATGCATAGGTATTTATATATACAAAATAATTATATACAGCACACACAAATATATTATGTAAACACAGACTTTTATTTTGGATGCAATTAATCGCAATTAACTTTTGCACAGCCCTAATATATATATATAAGAAAAAACAAAAATAAACACTTTTCTTATATAAATATCTATATCTATATATATATATATATTTATATATATATATATATAAGAAAAACAAAAATAAAACATTTTTATTTTTTCTTCATTTTTAATATAAATAATATATATTAATGTGTTTATTAATATTTATAAATATAAATAACATAATAAAATATAAAAATATAGTATTTTAATACATTGTAGAATTTTACCATATATATATATGAAGAGTTCAGATGCAAAAGCCTCTAAATGCCATTTGAAATTTTCTTCTTTAATGATGATTTTTATCAAACTTGTATATTTAAGTTCAGTAATTTCACTTAAATAACAATTAATAGGTAATTATCATTGCCATTTAAGTGAAATCACTGAACTTAAATACACAAGCTTGATAAACATTTTCATTCTAGAAGAAAATTTCAAATGGCACTTAGAGGCTTTTGCATCTGAACTCTTCATATATATATATATATATATATATATATATATATATATATATATATATATATTAATAATTATAGAATATATAGAGTGTCAAAAATATAAATACAATTATTTCATTTAATTATTCTATTATAATTATTCTATTTATTTGTACACAGTTATATAAATAATATATTTGCATATGGTTTTATGAATATATGATTAGGCTTAATATATGTAGTTAATATGTTTAATATTTTTATATATAAATAATATAGTCCTTAAATTGTTAGCAGAATAATAATAGTTAGTCTCTATAATAGTCTCTCTCTCTCTCTCTCTCTCTCTCTCTCTCTCTCTGTATATATATACAGGGGCGTAGCCAGGACATTATTTCTGGGGGGGCCAGCTTGTGCCAGTCTTTTATTTGGGGTGGCACTTGATTGTCAAAAACTACTATTACTAAAACTCACACGCGGCTCGTCAGGCCATAAACAATGGCTTGAACTCTCTTATGACACTAATAATGTCTAATTGATATGTGCGAGTGCAATGTGTCATCATTATGTGAGGGGTTAGGGACCTTAACATGAGACAGGGATGTTTTTAGTGCAAATGACAGAAAGACACAATATGAATTGTCATATTAGGCGATAATTTATTTAGGTAAACCATTGCATTTTAAGTGCAACATCCAATTTATTTGTGATAATACAACAAGTTACAACGGTTGCACAAATCATGACTAGATCATGTAGTAACACTTGAGTCATTAGTTAGTTCCAATGATCTTCACTTTATAATACGAATCCAAATAATTAGTAATTCCCACAGAAGTATCTAGTAACACTTTCATCTGTGAGCTATTACTTACTAATTCGTTAATAAGAGTTTATTTTAGTTAATAGTAGTTACTAGATTGTTAATAAACTTTTTCAGTAGTTCTCTGGGAAGTATTAAAAAATAGAAGTTATTGATTACTTAATAGTCAGGTACCACTTTCGTCTGTGCGCTATTACTTACTAGTTTGTTAATCAGAGTTTCTTGTTAGTTAATAATAGTTACTAGATTGTTAATATTGTGTTACTCATTGGTTCTTGTGTAGTTATTCATTAACGAAGGAACCGTATTCTAAAGTGCTGAAATGTTCTGTTCGCTTTGTGTCTGCTGTAACAATTACACTCTTAGAAGAAAAGGTTCAATATAGAACCTTAAAAGGTTCTAAAGCGTTACGTATTTGGAACCCTTAAAATGCAATGCATGTGAATGATCACAAAATTCAATATATGGTGGTTAAAAATGTAATTAATCAATATCAGACGAAGAGTGCCATTTCACTTTTTATCCTCTAAAAATCTGCATGATTAAAATGTGATATTAAGTTACTACAATAGTTTAATAAACAATAATTTAATAACAACTACAAATGTTGCAGAATAATGTAATATATGAATAAATAATAGCCTTTAAAAAGCCTTTGAGCCAAAACGGTTCTTTCTTGTCAGTTTTGAACCTTTTTTAGCATAAAATGTCCTTCGGAGTTGATTAAAGAACCCTATGCTACATTATGGGGCCGTTTACACCTGGCCACTATATGCGTTTTCTGTGATCCGATCGTGAAAAGACCAGGTGTAAATGCCCCCCGAAACGCATTCGAGACGAATTTGAATCCGATCACTCAAACCACTTCAGAAGGTGGTCTGGGCCGCATTCCAGACGAAACTGGACAAGTGTAAATGCATCTTGTTCTTGAAACCACATATGTAAATGGTAATACTCCCAAAAATGCTAAAAGAAAGAAACGCGTGAGAGCGTGTTACAGGCTACATGTCATGCTATTTTAGTCAGATATGACGACGCTACTGCAACGCGCATCATCACCTCAGATGAGCGGCTGAACGCAAGCCAACGCGCCGCAATCTATCGCAAATCAAAGTGAAAGTAAGTCGCAGACGATTAACACTAACATCTTCATTAAAAGTAAAGAAACGAAATGATCTTACCAGTTCTGTTGCCGCTCTCTCTTATCACCGTCTTTGCTGATTTTGAAATTAGCCGATGATCAATAAAATCCAACTCATATCTGTTGCTTTCGGTGACGTGCACTTCATTAAATCTGTATATAACGCGGGAATTGAAGATCGGATTTATATCCATTTTGCAAAAACACATTTATGTGACCAGGTGTAAATGGAATCGTTTTGATAAATCAGCTATCCGATCTGAGAAACGCATGAAGTGGCCAGGTGTAAACAGCCCAAGCGCTGTCAGAATGCAGGCACGTTATGTCTCGCACTGTTGATGGGGGCGAGACCCAACAAGTGACAAATCAATGACTTGATTAAAAAATGCATACATTTCAGCTTCCTTTTTAGACCGTTACTGAAGTTTTTATTTTTATTTTTTATTATTATTAAATTTATTTTCCCGTGAGGTTGAGGGGGGGCCGGCAGGGGGGCCGAGCCTTGACCAATGGTGGCCGTGGCCCCCCCTGGCCACCATGTAGCTCCGCCCCTGTATATATACAGTATGTCAAATGTTAATTTTTTAATGTGACTTAAAATATTCTATTTACATTTAAACTTATCAATATTATTATTTTATTTTTGTATTAGTGTATAATTATATATTTCAGAAAGGTATTGTCCAAACATTGTGTGATTTTTTTTTTTCTTTTTTGTGTAGTCATAAACGATGACGCTGTGTCCGTTTGACGAACGCAGTGATTTAGATTGATGAACTTAAAATTCCCAAAGTCATAAGCTGCCAACAGAATTTAATAACCAGCATCTGTTCCTTCCTAAAACACGTACACAAGCCTGTTTCTGTTGGCACCACGCCGCGAAAAACTGGCACAGGCTTAGCACTGACTTCCTTGCCATGGCCGCATACATATTCATACTCGCATTTCCTCCGTGTACATTTTTCTGCCAGCGTCGGTGTAATGCGTTTCTGAATTGTTCACTGAGTTTGAGCTGTTGTTCAATCTGTGGCCACAAGATGGTGGCATCAATCTATCTGTGTTTGAGTTCGCATTAAAAGATCATTTCATGCCTCTCTCTGCACAGAGGAGATTATACAGCTGCAGTCTCTCTTGGCTTATGCTAATGTAGTTCATTACAGGCACTTTTATTCACTCGTTTAGCACAATTGATGCCAAAACAAACAGACATTAGAAAACTTTAAACACGGCCTTTCGTGCTCTGCAGTGTCTTCAGTCGAGTCAAGTGTATAATATAGTAATATTGCTAAAAGGGGTCATGAACTGGCTTTTTTATATTTATCCACTTCACAGCTGTGGCATATCAAGATGCTGATTAGACACCGTGATTATTGCACCTATCCACAAGTTTCCCCATGAGGCCTTGCGTCAAAAGTGGGCGCGACTTCCGGTTGGAAGTAAACAAAGCGCGACTTGACATGCTTGATACTCGTTCATTCAACAGTTGACAGTCATTCAAGTTATAGCGATCCAAACTAGCTAACGATGTGGGAACACAACCTCAACGAAATTCAAAAGGGTGAAATAACAGTACCTTTACCCTCCGCAGTAGTTGATTTGATTATTAATAATGTTATTATAATACTCCCATACTCATCAAGGCATGGTGACAGACAGTTGTGCGAGCTGACAAACAATTAAAATAAAAAATACACACTTAGTCATTGTGCTTTGGAGTTTATTCAAAATTATAAATGAATGTGCTGCTTGAATACATTAACTGGCACATTTGGTATTCTGTCAACACAGGCTTTGATCCTGAGTTTAGGTGTAACATCAGTAGCGAACAGCCAATCACATGCTGATAGAGTTTATTAAGAATTTAAACAAATGTACACAGGAAGATTCGTCGTCTTTTGGGAGGTGATGGAAACTACAGTCGTTGGCAGGATCACTCAGATTTCGTGTTCAAAACAATCACGTTTAAGCCACTGAATTAGTTTAGTCCGGTTATACATACAACCGCGAACAGCACACGTTGTCCCTGAGCTCCGTATTGACATCGCTCATAAAGATTTGCGTCTTTAAATAGTAAAAGAATTCTCCGAAAAACAGCTAGCCTCTTCGCTAACTAACACAAAATACCATTGGAATGCTACTTCCGCCGCGTCACAGGAAGTTTCACCCACTTTATTTTTTACAGGAGCGCCCCTCGGAAACTTGTGGATATAAGTGCCTTAGGCCGTGTGTCCACCAAAGCGTTTTTCCACGTGCCTGGCATATGTTTTCAATTGTTTTCAATGGGAGCGCCGCGTTTTTTAAACGCCATGAGCGTGACGAGGCGCTGAACGTTTTTTTCACGCTGAAGCGCCGAGCGCCCAGTCGCTGGGAGTTGAAAAATGTTCATCTTGGAAAAAACGCATCGCTCATCACTGTCACTTTTTACCCAGCCGTCCAATCACAGTGGACGAGGGGCGGGACTAAACCACACCGACCAACTGTCACAACATTCAACTGCTGCAGATATTCTGTATCATAGCAACGAAACGTCTCAACGGAAAAAACGCTGCGCTGCCAAAACGATCTGAAGCGCCCAAAGCACGGCGTCTTCAGCAGAGCGTCTAGCGTTTTCAGATGGCTAAAAACGCTTTGGTGGACACACGGCCTTAGGCTGGCCACTTTAAAATATGCATTTTTACTGCCGGAAAAGAAAAGGTTGTTGATTGTGGCCTGTGGAATGAATTGAATGTACATTTCTCTACTATAAGCCAAAGGCAGTACATCCACCCGGCCTCACAAACGCAGACCACGTGGTGTAACCACACCAGCCCAGGACCTCCACTGTCAGAAACCGTCTCAGGAAAGCTCATCCACATGCTCGTCGTCCTCTTCAGGGTCTCGACCTGACTGCAGTTCGTCGTCGTAACCGACTTGAGTGGGCAAATGCTTACATTCGATGGCATCTGGCACTTTGGAGGGGTGTTATCTTCACGGATGAATCCCGGATGTCACTGTACGGGGCAGATGGCAGATGGCAGACAGCGTGTACTGTATGTGGGTGAGCGGTTTGCTGATGTCAGCGTTGTGGATCGAGTGACCCATGGTGGCGGTGGGGTTATGGTAAGGGCAGGCGTATGTTATGGACAACGAACACGGGTGCATTTTATTGATGGCATTTTGAATGCACAGAGAGACCGTGACGAGATCCTGAGGCCCACGACCATCATAATAATGCACGGCTCCATGTTGAAAGGATCTGTATCGCAGTTCTTGCGTGGCCAGTGTACTCACGGGACAGGTCACCCGCGCATTGAGCATGTTTGGGATGCTCTGGATCGGCGTATACGACAGCGTGTTCCAGTTCCTGCCAATATCCGGCAACTTCGCACAGCCTTTGAAGAGGAGTGGACCAACATTCACCAGGCCACAGTTAACAACCTTTTTCTTTTCTTTTTTTTTTTTTTTTTTTTTTTTTTTGGGTGACTAGAAGAGAGTTCTTTTAAAAACATTAAAGATCCCAAACTTTTGACTGGTATATATGTGTGTGTGTGTGTGTGTGTGTATATATATATATATATTATATATATATATATATATATTAGGGCTGTCAAACGATTAAGCGCGATCAATCGAATCCAAAATAAAAGTTTGTGTTTACATAATTTATGTGGGTGCACTGTGTATAATTATTATATATATATATATATATATATATATATATACACACACACACATGATTGTATATATTTAAGAAATATGTTCATGTACATACTGTATATATATATATATATATATATATATATATATATAAAATTTATATTATATATAAATATTTTATATATAAATAATATTTTTTCTTAAATATATAGAAGCATGTGTATATATATATATATATATATATATATATATATATCAAAATAATTATACATAGTGCACCCACATATATTATGTAAACACAAACTTTTATTTTGGATGCGATTTATCCAAATTTGATGATTAAAAATACAAAACAAAACAGTAATATTATGAAATATAATTACAATTTAAAACAGCTCTAGATGCAGATTTGACCCTCAAAAAACATTCATTATTATTATCACTGTTTAAAACATTATTATTATCAATGTTATTTACATTTTTATTTCAGGATTCTTTGATGAATAGAAAGTTCAAAAGAACAGCATTTATCTGAAATAGAAAGCTTTTGTAACATTAAATACGTTCAAACGTTCAAAGGTTTGGGGGCAGTAATTTCTTTTTATTATTATTTTTTTTTTAATGGAATAAATAAAAGAAATCAATGCTTTTATTCATTAATGATTCCTTAGAACTTTTCTATTTGTCAAAGAATCCAGAGGAAAAAAAAAATGTACACAACTGTTTTCAACATTGATAATAATAATGAATGTTTTTGAGCATCAAATCCACATATACAATGATTAGTATGTAAGTAATGATGCAAAAATTCAGCTTTGATCACAGGAATATATATATATATATATTTAAATTGTCATAACATTTAACAATATTACAGTTATTTTTACAAATAAATGCAGCCTTTAATAAAATAAATTATTCTTTTAAAAACATTAAAAATCTTACCGATCCAAAACTTTTAAAAAATTTAAACTATATAGAATAGAAACTTTAATGTATAATATTTTATACATTAACATTATTTTACTTATGGTGGATTATTATAATTGTTTTCTCATCTGAGTGGCCATGATTGCATTATCTTATTTATAAAATTGGATGAAAAGACCAGCCATATTTATTATGCAAGTTAATAAGCTCACATTTGATTTCACATTGTCTTTAAACTATGGTGATTTGCACCCAAAAATGGGTGTGAACTAGATTTTTATTTTTTATTTTGTGTGCTTACTTTCTAACCGCCCACAATGAAATCTCACCGGTCCAAAAATCCAGCTCCAAATGTGTGACAATAAGTTCTGATTGGCTGTTATCATGTGGTGTCGCACAGCATTTTCACTTTCGGTGTAGACAGTCGGATTACTTTAGGCTGTGAACTAATCCCATCATGCCAGCTTTTCGGACACACTGTCAGTTTTTTTTTTTTTTTTTATAGACTGATGCATTTCTGCCGAGTCACAATCAATTTTAAAGCAGGCCAAGGGCACTAAAGTGATGCAGTGAAACCCACTGAGTGTTTCTTTCCCCTCTGCAGGTGTGAAGAAGACGTGAACGAGTGTGAACGCGAGCTGTGCGAGAACGGCGGTGTGTGCGTCAACACGTTCGGCTCCTTCTACTGCAACTGCACTCCTGGTTTCGTGGGCAGCGCTTGTTCGGTTCGCCCGGTGCTGGTTCCGGACATGCAGTCCGGGCACGCGTACGTCGGGAAGGAGGAGCTCATCGGCATCGCCGTCGTTCTCTTCCTCATCCTCACCCTCATCCTCCTCTTCATCGCCTTCCGGAAGAAGGTGTTCCAGAAGAGCTATTCCCGGAACAACCTCTCCATGGTTCAGGATCCGGCTACAGCCGCCCTCCTGCACAAAGCCAACGGTGGGCACTACCCGCCCCTGCGCTGTGCCATCGGAGAGCCCATCAGCCTGTACACCGAGGGCCCGCCTCAGGTGCCCGTCCGGCCCATGGCGTACACGCCGTGTTTCCCCGGAGACCCTCGGGGAACCCTGGAGAAGAGGCACGGGGACTGCCGAGGCCCGGAGCTGACGGAAATGAGCACGTTCCATCCGTCGGAGTCGCCGCGGATCCTGGGCGGGACCAACCGGAGGGGCGTGGTCGTGTGCAGCGTCGCCCCCAATCTGCCCCCCGTCTCCCCGTGCCGGTCTGACTGCGACTCGCTGCGGAAGAGCCCCTGGGAAGACGAGGGTGAGAGATTTCTGTCACGTGTGTGTGTGCTGTATTTCTGTGCGTGTTTGTATACATATTTTTAATAGGGCTGTCAAACGGTTAATCCCGATTAATCGCATCCAAAATAAGAGTTTGTGTTTACATAAGATATGTGGGTGCACTGTGTATAATTATTTTCTATATATATAAATACACACAGATGCATGTATATTTAAGAAAAAAATATTTATATTTATATTAGGGCTGTGCAAAAATTAATTGCGATTAATCGCATCCAAAATAAAACTCTGTGTTTACATAAAATATTTGTGTGTGCTGTATATAATTATTTTGTATATATAAATACCTATGCAGGCATGTATATATTTAAGACTTATTTTAGCTTAAATTCTGTATATATATATATATATATATATATAAATACATAATCTATATTAAATAAATATAAATATTTTTTATATGAATAACACATTTTCTTAAATATATACATGCATGTGTGTGTGTATTTATATATACAAAATAATTATATACAGCACACACAAATATATTATGTAAACACAGACTTTTATTTTGGATGCGATTAATCGCAATTAATTTTTGCACAGCCCTAATTTATATATAATATAAATTATATATAAATAGATATATAGTATATACATGAAAAGATTTCTTAAATATATAAAAGCATGTGTGTGTGTTTATATATATATATAAAATAATTAGTGCACCAACATATATTATGTAAACACAAACTTTTATTTTGGATGCGATTAATCGCGATTAAACGTTTGACAGCCCTAATTTTTAATGCAATATATTATATGATTGAAATTGTAATAGCAGCAGAAACTAAATTAAGGGAAAAAAGAAATTATATGCCAGATATAACCCCAATTTAAGAAAATTCAAAGACTTTTTTTATTTTTATTAAGACTATTCTATTATTAATATAATAAATAGATTGTTTTATTTATTTAGTATGTCATTTTAAATCAGTCATTTGTCATTAGTTCATCATTAATTATCATTCATTTTCATAAAACATTTTATATATATATATATCATTTTTGCTTTCCAGTAATATTTCTCAAATTCTACCTTTCTTTTATTAAATGAAAAATATATTGCATATATAATTGTAAAATTAATAGCTGAAGAATGATATTAATTGTGCATGTATAAAGATGCTCTTCATTTTAAATACATTAAAATGGATATATACATTTTTAAAAAAATTAAGAAAAATTCAAAGAGTTTATTATTATTATTATTGTCATTTTAAATAACTCGTTTTATTATTTATGTTCACTAAACAATTTGCACATTTGATCATTATCTTTACAGTAATATATTTCCCAAATTCTCTTATTTTATCTAAAAATATAATTTTAATATCATATATTAAATGATTGTAATACCAATAGCAGAAGAATTAAAGTAATGGGTCATGTACAGTAAATAATTTTTCAATAAATTGTACATATATATTTTTAAAGGACCTCAAATGTTTAAAGAATATTATTACATGTTATTTTGTTGTATATTGTTTTCTTTCCAACAATATTGCACAAATTCCATCTTTTATTTCCACACTGCGTGTATTATTGCTGACATCCGTTGCCCTCGGAGAGGTTAAAGTGCATTATAATTGTGATGCATTGACCATCTGATTTAAAATATATATAAAAAAATAAAAAATAAATTAAAAAAAACATTTCTCGCTCCAGGCAGAATCATGCAACTCCTCTCCGCATCTCTCACGTACTCTGGTGTGTTTGTAAGCATATTATGTTTATGCATAAATGTGTTTGCCAGTGTGAATTTATCAGAGGGCTTTGATCAGTTCATGCCTGTCAACCATGAGAAATCAATCCTTCCCTTAACATGTTTTATTTAAATATCGTATTTAACTGCGTTTAACCTTACTCAGCTCAGAGATTGGCTGCTCCACACACACACACACACACACACGCCTGCTGGTATCTCAGTAACCCCCCTGAGCTTTTTTGACATGCACATTTTTTATATTCAGACTTTCAATGAACCAATACGCCAACACTAAGAACGGCAAAGCATTGAATCTGTATAGCGGATGCATTGATGGTTTTGCGACCTATGACTGTTTACAGGGGAGATAACAAAACATGCTGCCAGATTTGGTGTTATCAGTATATGTAATGGCGGAGCTCTACACTTTTATCTTCCTAAACTCAGCTCCGTTTTCCTGCTGTGACAGTTACGGCAGAAGCGTACAGGAGAAAAAAAGCTTGTAATTGTTGAAACTGTTTCCACCTGCAGATTCCCACCTTTCTTTGTTAATGGTGGGTTTTTGTTTTTTTCAGTAAATCAAATCAAAATACACTTTCATATGAAGGTTACGGCTAAAAAATGGAAAAGCTGGAAACCGTTAAGGAGTAAAAGCTTTTGATTTATGGTTCATATGATGCTGCTTTTTTGTAAACCAAATCAAGTCACTTTATTTGAGGATGACATGGAAATAGAGCTGTAATGCTATAATAGGCCCACGCGAAAACAGCAGAACTGCATCTCGTCAAAGTTTTACACGACCCTTGGCTCTTGTTTATAGATTTATTAAAAATGTTACCTGATTATATCTAGGATTGGGTGTTTTTTTGGGTGATTTTTATCGCATCAGATTCATTTCTACTCCAATGAGGTAAACAAACAAAAACATCGAACAGTCAGGATCGGTGAGTGTTTTTCTTTGTCATTTGTTATTTGATTAAAGGGATAGTTCACTTTGAAATTAATTTTTGATATGTTTTAGCTTACCTCAAAAGGCATCCAAAATGTAGGTGTCTGCAGGTTTCTGCAATATTTTCAATTTTGACATTTTTAGGTCAAACCGTTCGTGTCTATCAGTCATATAATGGCGGTCTATGGTCACCACCTCAAAGAGCAGCACAGAGAAGTCCAAATTAAACATGATTTAATGACTCGTAAATGTAAGTACACACTGATGGCCTAAGACACGAAACGAGCGGTTTGTGTGAGAAAACAGTATTTATATAGTTTTTACCTCGTGTAACCACAGACACGTCCAAGTGATCTGAGGGCGTGGGCACATCACTCCTTGCGCGGTTGCAAAAAAAAAATTCACTGTTGTCTGTTGATGTATCGAAATTGTCTTCTATTTCAATTTCCTGTATATCTAAATATGTTTAGATCTTCACAGTGAAGGATAACACTTGACACTGAAACACTGAAATGTCTGTGTAAACAATGAGTGATTTACACGCGCGAGAGATCACTTCCGGGGCTTTCCGGCGCTCTTGTGCAGACCGAAGCGCCCGCGGCCTCAGATCACTTGGATGTGGCTGTGGTTACAAGAGATAAAAATAATATAAATACTCGCTCGTTTCGTGTCTTAGGCCATCAATGTGTACTTACATTTACGAGTCATTAAATCATGTTTAATCTGGACTTCTCTGTGCATGCTCTTTGAGGTGGTGACCATAGACCTCCATTATATGATTGACAGATAAGAACGGTTTGACCTAAAAATATCAAAATTGAAAATACTGCGGAAACAAAGACACCTACATCTTGGATGCCCTTGAGGTAAGATAAAACATATCAATAATTAATTTTAAAGTGAACTATCCCTTTAACATAAATGACACATACGGCAGCAGGTTTATTAGGCTGCTGTCACTTTAAGAGCTGCACGGATCCAATATACTGTTTTCTTTCTCAACTGTTTACGCTCAATTAAGACAAAACCGACTGTGTCGAGTGGATATTTTGACATCATTTTGTTTGCGTTTTCAAGTGCAAGAATAAACTAAATAGAGTTTGAAATCACATTAAAATGCACACACAGGAATCAATAAGCGGAATCGAAATGCGCCTCTTATTGAATCTATGGTTCTTGGAAATGTGGAACCGGTTCTCGATACACAACCCTAGTTATATTATGCTTTCTGCTACCAATAAAAGTTGTATTCTCAGCTCTGTTTAACCGTTTTACCACGTTTAAAAGTAAAATCCACCGTTTTTTTTTGTTGTTGTTGTTTGTTTGTTTTGCAAAAATCAGCACTGTGAATTCAGAAAATTCAGTCAGCAGATATATATATATATATATATATATATATATATACACACACACACTACATTCCTTTTTTGTATTTTGCTTAAACATATTTTCTATTAAAATGTTTGTGTTCTCTCTGTGCCTTTTTTTTCTTCACTTGTTTTTGTGTTGTTTTCATGTTTTCTTATCCAAGGTGACTTCCAGCAGAAGCATTTGGGAATATTTCTCTGAGATAAAGCTTGTTGCGGATCTGTGGACAGATCTTTATTAGGAATGTACCTCAACTTTTATCTCGACTGAAACCATTATTAATAATCCTCCAGACCATCTCGAACAGAACTCTTGAACACACACTACTGTGCAAGTTCTCTTATAATCACCAATGCTGCATTTATTTGATTAAAAATTCAGTGTAACAGTAAAATATTATTACAATTTAAAATAACTGCTTTCTATAATATATATTTAAAAATGTATGATTACTCCAGTCTTCAGTGTCACGTGATCCTTCAGAAATCACTCTAATATGATGCATAATATTTGTGTTTCTTTCCTGAAGATTTTTATTTGCATTATTCATCAGGCGATCTGTGAACGGCTCATGTGAGTTGCTTTTGAGAGTAAAAACAAAGAGAAAAGTACTATAGTAAAAAAAAAAACATTTCCCTTTAAAGACTTGATATAACTCTTCACGTCGATAAATGCTGAAAGAAAAGTGGTTATGGGAGTATGTATATGGGCTCCGTTTAGTGGGAAAGCTGATGGCAAAACCCATTCTCCCTCTGGCTTTAAATTCTCCTCCATCCGAATCCTCCGAGGCTTTTTACCGCCTATAATTACTTCATTTTTCATTTCCTCGTGGTTTGTGGTGTCCTCCATTCAAACCCTCTTGGGTCTTATAAATCTGCAACGGTGAAATGCAGTGAGACTATTATATATGCGGCCATTAAAGGAAAGATCAAAGCCAAAAATGTCTGGGAAAGGAAAGAAATTAAAAGACAAACATCAGAGAAGGGACTTGGAACGGCGTGGAGATTCGAAACGTGTGTGTGTGTTTTATTGAAAGTTACGGAAGTTGTGATTGGTTGACATCCTGATCTTTTGTGTTTAGGTAAAGTGGATTTGTTGGAGGAGGTCACATGTTTCTCTGGCAGTAACAAGGGCAGCAACTCCGAGGTCCAATCGCTGAGCTCCTTTCAGTCTGACTCCTGTGATGATAATGGTAAGACACTGTGTGTGTGTGTGTGTGTGTATATGTGTTTGCTGTTGTTCCTACTCATCATGAAAGGATAAAACAACATGCGTCTTTCTTCAGGACTCTTCATACAGTCATCCTTCCTCATCATCATTTTGTTAATGAAGTGAATATTTAAAGAGGTTTGGTGTGCGTGTGTGTGTGTGTGTGTTGCTGCTCTCAAGTCGGCCTGAAACCTTCAGAGATCGTAATTACGACCTGATACTCTTTGTTGTTAGTCAATTTCATATTTCTCAATTTTTTCACAAAACTTTTTTTTTTTTCAAAACTAATTTGCGGTCATCATAGATGATGGCTTTCCAGCGGGAGGGGCGGGGCATGTGCATACAACCGCCATCTTTGGTGTTACGGGTTTTCGCTAAATAGTTGTATTAAGGATTGAGGAAGTGGCATGTCTCTATATAAATAGTCTCTGACTTAGGGGCTGTTTACTAAAAACAAAAAATGTGTTTTGGCCGTTCGTTTACACGACAACGGCGGTTTGGGTGCCTGAAAACGCAAACTTTTGAAAACGGATTTTTAAAGTGCAAGTTTTTGAAAACGGTTTCCGCGTTAACAGCAAAAAACGCGAATCTCTGAAGACGATGACGTCATATACGTATTACCAGTGTTGGGGAAGCTACTCTGAAACTGTAGTTTGACAAGCTACAAGCTACTCGTATGTTAAAGTAATTAAACTACAGTCAATCTACCCTTTTGGAAAAGTAGTTAGCTACACTACAAGTTAACCGTTAACAGTGAACCGTTAGCCGCAAGATGCGTGATTAAACAACAGGTGGCGGTAATGGCAAAAAATGAGTTTGTAATCTAACAAGAAGAAGAATATCCTTGCATCGGGCTGATTCACGCAGGCTCGATAATGTAGCAATGTAGCTTTTGCTCGCGCTACACCGCTACTTGCTGCAAAAAGTAGTTACCCAGATAGCAAACTGACATTGAATCAACGTGGAAATATGACATCGAAACAACGTTGATCTGACATAGTTTTGCTCATCGAATTAACGTTGAACCAACGTCAGACGCGTCATTCTTTCAAAACTAACGGAAAATCAACTTGAAATCAACGCGTTGTTTCAACGTTATGAAAGCAAACCAATTTTCGATTTCATTTAGCTTTGAAGAATGCCGCGTCTGACGTTGGTTCAACGTTAATTCGATGAGCGAATCAACGTTGTTTCAATGTCATGAGAGACGTCATTTCCACGTTGATTCAATGTCAGTTTGCTGTCTGGGTAGCTACTGGAAAAGCTACACTGTTTAAAAAGCAACTGAGCTACTGCCAAGCTACTGAAAAATGTAGTTAAGTTAGTACTGTAGCTTCGCTACTTGTAGTTAACTACTCCCCAACACTGCGTATTACGTGTTCAGTCTATTCATACTTTGCTCGTGACATCACAAGTACTGGCTAGCGGGCAAGAACGCCCTTCTCCGTCGAAACGAAGCAACGAAACCCAGTAAACTAGTCAAGGTTCTTGCCAGGACAACTCCAGTTTTTATGCAAACGTTGATGTTTCAAGGTGTAAATGACACACCAGATAGTTGTTGTGCGATTGGTTGCACTAACCAGATGAGATAAGCAACCTTCACAGTATAACGTTACACGTCTGTGCAGTGATCATTCCATCATTTAAGGTCATTTCAACATTTGTTTGAAAACAATGGGTGTATGATATTCGTGTCTTTAAGTTAACCTGTAGTTTCGTCAATCAATGTTACCAGCTGGTTCGGCGAGTCAGCTGTTTGTGTTATGAGGCTAACTGTACGTTCACACCGCTGCCGTGAGTGCAGCAAAATTGATTGAAAAATGAATGACTTCTGGGCATTTTGACGCTCTCGCCGGTGGCGGTGTAAACGCAGCTGTCGTATTTTGCTAACAACAACAAAACTGTGTAATAGATTCTTTTGAGGTTTGTGATGTCTATGGTTTTCAATGAGAACAGTAGAGCTAGATCATCTACGGAGGAATTATTACTGCTCGATTATCAAAAAAAAACACAAAAAAAAAACGTGTTTGCTTTACACAGTTTTAACTACCTTCACCTTGGAGTTAATCCTAGTCCATAGTTATGCAGCTAGCTCGCTAACAGACTTGATAGCTACTAGAAAGACCTGGAACTAGAGGACTTTACGTTGAAAATACCCGTTTGTTGCCCGCCAGCCATCCATGGTAGTCTCGTGACTGCAAAGTATGAATAGTGTTTCATCGCCATCTAGTGGCCTGGCAGAAGAACACACCATTTTTTAGTAATTTTTCGTGGATCCGCGTGAATGGGGATCGTTTTAACAAGTTTGTCGTCTGTACGCGGAAAACTCAAAGGAAAAACTTCTCCTTTTTAAGCATTTCGTTGTCGCGTAAACGTACCCTTAAACTGCGCACACCCAAACTTTATTATCTAATTACTAATAAAAACCGTAAGTTTTCAAAAATGAGTTTTCGCTATTGCTGTGTGTAATTTACGTTGTGGAACATAACATTCAAGTATCACCACAAAAATACTGGTCAGGCTCTTATCTGTCTAATTTTCCAGTATGATTCTTTAATTGGCAGCACAAATAAATCTATAGTTTCTTACTGTTAAATACGACATTTTAGTGACTCTAGTCCCGTATGTACGATTATTAATATCTGACTTGAATGCAGCAGGTGTGGATGTGGATTTGTGTGTTGGTCACATCACCACCATCTCTCCTCAGATTCGCTGGAATGATGCCATGCTTGCCTTTCATTGGTCACAGCTAAATTCATCAGCAACCAATCAGGGCACAGAAGCTTCTGCAGTGGACCAACAGTGTAACAGATATTGTGGAGTCGATTCTTCAGTCTGATTAGTCTGTGGGTTTGTTTGGGTTCTCCTGTGTGCGTGCGCGTGTGTGTGAAAGTTTCTGACTGGTCTTCATTGCTTTCTCTTTCCAAGCTTCCATAGTGACGGTAATTCGCCTGGTCAATGATGCGGTCGACACGATTGAGAATGAAGGTACTCTTTCCCACCGCTGGATTCTGAAGCATCTTCCTTAAAAGCGCTTGAGGACACATGAAACTCAAACACACACTTTCTTTCTTTCTCTTTTGCTTTTTTTTTTTTTTTTTTTGATTACACACATACACATTTTCTTAGCGCTCTACATGTGGACCATCAACTTTTATTAGGGTTTTCAGTCTTTAATTGATTTTATCGAAGTTTTCAATGCAAATCAATAAATTGATAGAAACAAAATTGAATTTACATCCATTTCACATTAGTACGTATTAATTTTTTTGAATCATCAACAATTAGTTTACATTACAGCCCTCATATTATTATTATAATGACTACAAACTAACCCTATCCCTTTAAAGAAAACTTTGAAAACTTTGAACTTTTAGTCTTAATAACAAAATTGATCAATTTGAAGCATTTTTATTTCTGAATTGTTCTTTTTATTTCAGTTGCTTTATTCCCAAAATATAGTTAAGTACACTACAATACGAAAATTTTATATTATATTTGTGTGAATGAGACACCCTTAGGGCCGGTTCACATATCGCGTCTTTTGCGCGCTCAAGTTCGTTATTTCAAATGTAGGCGCGCGGTATGCGCGCTCATAATGGAAGCGGTGCGGTCGCGGTGCGACGCGCTCCTTTTTTCCATGCGCGTCCGCGCCGCGTCGAGATAAAAACATCTCAACTTTTCAGAATACCGCAAGCGCACCGTACGCACACAATAGGTCATGTGACAAGAACCAACTGAAGCGCAACCGCCCTGGCGCTTTGCAAAATAGAGAATGCGGCGCGCCCAGCGTTTTCTACGCGTTTTTAGGCGCTATATGTGAATCCGGCCTTACTCGTGAGGAGAAGCGTCACCCCAGTCAGGAAGATGATACAGCACACTCTCTGCTCAAATATTTTCTCTGCCGAACACACACCTCCAAACACATCCCCAGATCATACATTACCCTCAATGGAAGAGCGCAAACACACACGTTTGAAGTTGTAAAAAACAAAAAAAGTCTTTTCAAGTGTGCCTTCAAAGCTAGACATGCTAAAGTAATGTAGGCTGATGAGCTTGTTTGAGCTTGTACTTTGATGTAGAGGTTGTAAATCGAACAAACTTCTGAATCTTGAAACTAGTTCATGCTGAGATATTTCAAAACTAGTTCATATTTACATATTTTAAAACTATTGCTTCATACTGTCCTAGCAGTCCCTCAGCGGAATATTTAAAAGGTAATCTTTGATTTCATTGGCCGATACAAAGATATTTTTAGCATAAGCATTTCTCATTTTGTGAGATGTAATATACTTTAATATGCTTAGTTTAAAGCATGTGTTGTTTTTATATTATTTATATACCGTTTTAATATTTAGTTGTATTTTGAATTAGGATTCATTTTTATATTTTTAGTTTTCATTCTAGTTTTAGTGTTTTTTTGTCATTTTTATTAGTTTGTTACATTTAAAATGTCTGTATAGATTTAATATGTATTTCAGTTATAGTACTTTTAGTGCTTCAACGTAAGCTTATTTCAACTATTCAACATTTTTATTAAAGTTTTGCATCAAATATTTATATTTTACTTTATTTTAACTGTTATTATTGTTTGAGATTGAGTTAACAATATTAACTTTGCTTTAAAGTGGACAAAACTATGATAGTTGACTTTGAGATGTCAACTATCCAAGATGTGTCTTTGTTTTCGCAGTATTTTCAATTTTGATATTTTTAGGTCAAACCGTTCTTGTCTGGCAGTCATATAATGCAGGTCTATGGTCACCACCTCAAAGAGCATGCACAGAGAAGTCCAAATTAAACATGATTTAATGACTCGTAAATGTAAGTACACATTGATGGCCTAAGACACGAAACGAGCGGTTTGTGTGAGAAAACGAACTGTATTTATATTGTTTTTACCTCTTGTAATCACAGCCACGTCCAACTGATCTGAGGGCACGGACGCTTTGTGGCTGTGGTTACAAGAGGTATCAACTGCTCATTAAAACTCATTAATTTCAAAGTGAACTATCCCTTTAAAAACAGCACACATATTATGAATGACATATTATCCATCAAGGTCTGATGGACTTATTTTATGAATAATAACTAACTAGCTTATATTTTGTGTCTGAAGTCTGTGGTTTGTTTCATATTAGTTAAAGCAATAGTTTACTCATACACTCATATGTACTGTAATCATTCTCACCCTCAAGTTATTCCAAACCTGTATGCGTTTCTTTCCTCTGTTGAACACAAAAGAAGATATTTTGAATATACTGAAGACATTTTTCCTAATATGGAAGTCAAGTGATCAAATGTTTGGTTACCTTCGAAATTATGCGTTCAGCAGAATAAATAAATTTGTACAGGTTTGAAACTTCATGAATATGTTTTAGTTGATGTACACAATCTCTAAAGCGATGTTGTATTTATTTTTAGTTTCATCCAATCTTGTAAGACAAAGATGTAACCCTAATTAACAGAATGTAGTAGAGTCACTGTAACAGATATTGCGAGTATGTGTGACTGCTTGTTTTTCTGCTCAGTAATGGACTACAGACTCACACTTAAAAGACATTTCAGCCCTAACTTAATCACATTCAATCAGACGCATACTGATGAAGATCAAACAAGGCAAATTAATAAGCTGGGAAGGAATGTGCACATTTTTACAGCACCATTCTCTCTCTGTTTTTAGTCTCTCTGCTCTCTGTTTTCTCTTACCCTTACAAATATTTACCATGGCAATTTAATTTCTCTTATATAGCCTACTAGTTAATGTAACTATTAAACAAATAGTTTAATTTCATAGTAACAATAAACAGTATAAGCAGCATTTTTAATCTTCTTGAAGTGCTCATACTTTGTATTAGCGATTTAAACAAACTCTAACCCTAAATATTCAAATTTGGTCCTTGTTTGTGCTACTTAAAGTCCCCCTGCGGTCAATAATTGTATCCCTTAGATTGTAAACCTTTGGTCACCAAAATTATACATTTAAAAGGTATTTCCTTGAAAAAATTCAAATAGCTTGAATGTAACTGAATATAACTCTACACCCTTGCCTCATTTAGGGTATGCAGTTCTGTGAATATGCGAATTATCCCCGCCTCCACTCACTCACACCCAGTGTTGTAGTACTCGAGACTCGGACTCGTCTCGGACTCGGTCTCGAGACCATATTTTAATGGTCTTGGTCTTGGTCTTGTCATGGACTCGTGTCCATTTGGACTCGGAATTGACTCGTACTCGAACATTTTTTTTTTAGGACTCGGAATTATTCCCGAGTCCACTCGAGTTCAATTAAAAATATTTTTCATGATTATTAATGTATGTTAATAAAATATTTCTTTAAATTGATTGACACGCCCAGTGATTGGTTATTTTCTAGTGCGCAACTGCGCATGACAAATTGTAATAAAATTACTTTTAACACCACCTACTATGTGGCCTTTTTACCCTAAACTGATCATATTTTTTTAAACTCTAAGTAAATTCAGTAAAAAAAAAAAAAAAGGATTTCTCTAAGTAAATAAAAGTAAATTAGGTAATCAACCCTCACTGGTCTCGGTCTCGTCTCGTACTCGACCGTCTCTGGTCTCGGACTCGGACTACTTAAAGTCCCCCTGCGGTCAATAATTGTATCCCTTAAATTGTAAACCTTTGGTCACCAAAATTATACATTTAAAAGGTATTTCCTTGAAAAAATTAAAATAGCTTGAATGTAACTGAATATAACTCTACACCCTTGCCTCATTTAGGGTATGCAGTTCTGTGAATATGCAAATTATCCCCGCTCAGAGATCCACTCGTAGACATATAAACACCACATAGACATATAAACAACATTAAACGCTTAATTTTCACCACAGGATGACTTTAAATTTCATATTGGTCTTTAGCTAAAAGCCACCAGCCAGAACACTCAATAAAAAAACATAATTTAGTTTTGTTTTACTTTTGTTTGCCTCAATTACGTTAACCCAGTTTTAGTGGAATACAACTTAAAACATGTTTCATTTTTGTACAGGTTGGGTATCTAGAAACGGTTCCAAATTTCCCAGAACTGTGGACGTTCATTTCCATTCTGCTTATTAACTCCTGTGTACGCATATTAATGTGATTTTTAAACTGAAAACACGGCTCTGTTTCATGTAGTGTGTGAATACTGAATTGAGTTCTATTTATCGTCGTCTCATATAATACACACAAACTGATGTCAAAATATCCTCGTAAACACAACGGTCTGTCTTAAGTGAACGTAAACGTAAACAGTCGAGATAGAAAACGCTTGTTTAACAGTATATTGGATCCGTGCAGCTCTTAAAGTGACAGCAGCCTAATGAACCTGCTGCCGTCTGTGTCATATATGTCATATATGTACTTTAATAAGGATGAATCTATATTTGAGAACTACGCAGTGTAATCGATAAGCGGATTCGTAAATCCAAACGATACCCAAACCTAGGTATCACATGTACCAGAATATGACAAACCACACACATCTACATGCGATGTTGATTCTTTTGAATATGGTGTTTGTACATAAACACAGTTCTGGATACAGGATGGGTTTGGTGCTGATCCACAAATCTGTCTTTCTCTGTCTTTCTGCTTCATTTCTGCCTACCAGTGTCCGTTATGGATCAAGGTCAAAACTTCAACAGAGGTGATTCACATTCTCTCTTTCCTCCTGCTTTGTTCAGCTAAATCTCCCCCGGAGTTCTCGCACTCCTTCCTTTTCAGACTTTGTTCTCTATCTGTTCCTCCCTCTCTCGCTCTCCCTTTCCGTATTGCTGACAAACTGAGCTATTGCATTCTGGGAAGTGTCACATCACCCAACAGCGATATGCTCTTTGTCGATGAGCGCACACACACACACACACATCAGAGTACCTGCAGTCCTCTGTCACCCCTTTCCTCTCTTTTTCGTCTGTCTCTTTCCCCGCAGTGCTTCCATTGCTGACTTTGTGTTTTTCTTTTGTTTGATATTGATGTTTTCTGATAGCGAGGATTAGGCCGTGTACAGTGTGTGTGTGTGTGTGTGCGTGTGCGTCCCTGCGCTTCTGTGTTTCATGCATCGCTGCATGCAATCCTCACCTTCATTTATTTTGGTTTGCGTTTTTGATGAATGTTCTCTGAACCTTGACCTCTTGACCCCTGGCTGTGCCTTCGATCACCTTGCAGGCATGTCCACTCACTCCAGCAAGACCTGCATGTGGAAATGTTCAGTGTAATGTTCCTGTCCCAAATCCCCCAAAAAACACATCACAAATGGGAATCCCAGTCTCATTCGAAAAATGTGCCTGTGCCTAAATTTAGCAAATAATTACAAAGATATGGAAAGTAACATTGAATTAAACCTAGAAAATTTGAAGTAGAATGATGAAATAGTATTTTCTTGTAAAACATACTTGCATCTGTTTCATTTACAACTTCGGTTTCGAAATCATAACATAGTATTATGCAAGGAACCCCATGAAATTAAAGGAGTAGTTCACTTTTCAAAAAACTTTTGTTGATAATTTACTCACCCCCATGTCATCCAAGATGTCCATGTCTTTCTTTCTTCAGTCGAAAAGAAATGAAGGTTTTTGATGAAAACACTCCAGCATTGTTCTCCATATAATGCACGTCAGTGCGAACCAAACGATTTGAGGTCCAAAAGACAGTTTCAGTGCAAACTGTAAACTGTTCAAAGGGCGTTAAACGATTCCAGACGATCAATAAGGGTCTTATCAAGCGAAACGATCACTCATTTAATAAAGACATAACGAAGTTTAAGTTTTATAAGCTCAAATGGTTGCCTTGCTCTGTTCTGTTATGCGCGATCATCAAAATGAACGAATCTTTTTCCGAGTCAATTCGTTCGTTTCGTTCGTTGAATGAACCAAGTGACTCGCAAAAAGTTTTGTTCATTTTGATTCACAGAACAAAGCAAGACGACCATTTGAGCTTATAAAACTTAAACTGTGTTATTTATTTATTAAATGAGCGATCGTTTCGCTTGATAAAGCCCTTATTCATCGTCTGGAATCGTTTAACGCCCTTTGAAGCTGCACTGAAACTGTCTTTTGGACCTTAAACCGTTTGGTTTCCAATGAAGTCCATTATATGCAGAACAATTCTGGAATGTTTTCATCAAAAATTTCTTTTCGACTGAAGAAAGAAAGACATGGACATCTTGGATGACATGGGGGATGACATCGTTTGTTTTTTTACTGCTCCTAGTGTTCATTACAGCTGGAAAGTGCATTGATTTGTGTGTATATGTAAGTTTTGTAGAGTTTTACTAAATTGCAGATAGCGCACGTAGATAGCGTTTTTCCAATGAGTATAGGTTGCAAATGGGACACCCTACGGTCTCGACAATTGGATCATTTGGGACAGGACCGAAATCTAACCCGTTAACCCCCCTTCAGAATGGTCGAGCATGCAGCCCAAACACGATTCCGTACCTACCGAGGGATCCCGTTAGCTGTTCGTTCACTCGATGTTTACTAACTTCCTGTTTCCTGTTTCTCCAGCATACCACTGGGACACTTCCGATTGGCTGCCGAATACACGCCTACCTGACATCGAGGAAGTCCCCACCTATGAGACGAGCGAAGTGGGCGTGACTTTAGAATCTGACTATTACCTCGGCGGGTTCGATATCGACAGTGACTACCCGCCTCCTCAGGAGGAGGAGTTTATGTCCCAGGACCAGCTTCCCCCGCCCCTTCCCACCGAGGAATACGACACCTCACCCGCCAATCCACACGCCTCGAGAGAGAGCACGCTAAGCGGGGACCACAAGCCCCGCCCACACTTCCACCCCAGCCAATACCTGCCCCCGCATCAGCTACCGCTCGGCTCCGCGGGGGAGGAGTTTAGCACTTTCACAGGCAGGGAGGAGCGCCTGTCCGTCAACGCCTCCTCCGCCTCCGACGTTTCCTCCGTGCCCTGTGGGTTCGAAGACTCCGAGACGGGAGGAAGCTTGGACAGTTTGGAGGACGCGCTCATGCACCCGCAAACGCAGCAGACTGAGGTCTGACACGCCACCGGGAACTAAAGACGGAGTTACTGACATTAGCGGGACGTGTTTTCAGACATAAAGGACACCAAACTCTCGCGTCTGTGAGACTAAAGCGAGACAGAGGACTGCCGACGCCACAGACAGACTCTCAGCGCTGCCCTCTGCACGAGGAGCCCACTAATAAAAGCACAGGAAGTGGCGAAAGTGATGTCATGGGTGGAGACCATACGTTTAAAGCAACAAGAAACGTTATTGTGAACGGAGACCAATGATCTGTAAATGTGTTTTCAGAAATCGCCCTGGTGGATTTCATTGTTCCGTCCGGTTCCTTATTTGTTTGGTGCTGCCGTTTGTGAGTTTAAAACCTGGATCTGTTCTAAAACCTAGTAAGCTACCTATGTAGACCGCTTTATGCTGCCTTTTAAGATGCCTCGTTTTGTCCAAATTGTTTACATTTTTATTTCATATAAACAAAACTTACAATTACATACAATAAAGAATAATAGTCACCCTAGTTGAAAAAAAAAATTAAAATGTATTTAAAATACTTTTATTTCATACTAAGTATACTACAAATCCATTAACATGTTTACTGACATGTCGCTTGAGACTTACTGATATAAATATTATGATTAAACTTTATTTGGAGTGCTTACAATGCACATTTCTTAATATTAAGCCTAAAATGTGATTTAATATCACTATTAGTAATGATCTCTGTATAATATCTATGCAAGATATTTAAAGTGAACCTATACTTGCAATAGGTTCACTTTAGCACAATCAAATACACTTAAGTATTTAACTATTTCTGGATAACTAAAGTGCATTAAGTACAAATTAGTTCTTCCAATTTAGCAGACTTTAAGTTTATCAGTTTAGTATATCAAAAGTACAATTGCAGGGAATTTATATTAAATACATGAATGTATTTTTAGTATACTTACATGCACACAAGTTTATTTATTTTTCACAAGGGCATGCCCAACCCAAATGTAAAAAAAAACAGCATACACATTTAAATACAAAACGATGAACTAAGGTGGCATCACACATTTACTTCCCAGAATGGATTGCAAAAAAACAACAACCAATTAATCCAAGATGGCGGACAAGTCGAGCATGTCGAGTGCCGACTATAAATAGAAATGGTTGTATATGATTTTTTTTTTTAAATAACTGTCAGGCAATATCTGTGTGTGATACATATTTGTATTTGTTGTTAGCATCAAACTCTACATCTCTGCTGAAGAAAGCCAAGACTTAAACCAACATAAGGGGGTTTTCTGGTCTTACCTGGTTTTTCCACAGTCCTCAGCAAGGAGATGTTTGGCCAAGAGGAATCCCAAGAACCCAACCCCCCTATAAAACCCTAAAAAAGACATCAGTGTAACCAGTTTGGCCAGGCTGGGAGACCAGCCAGCCACCCTAGGCTGGTTTAAGCCCTTTTTGTTTGTTTCAGCCAATTCATATTCAGTTTAGTTGCTTTCTTTGTAGATCGTTCCAAATCGCTCACTTATGAGGGACCATTTCAGTTCGGACGCCACCTTAAAAGGCAGCTCACTGTGTTTTGGAACAGAACGTGAATTTGAATCCGTTTTCTATAAATGGTCGAAAAGCACATGTTGTCTGTCTCTTCCCAAACATGTTTTTCTTTTTCTATTTTATTTTTTATGCATTGACTTTTTTGCACTAAACTTATGGACGATACAGTAAGTTCAGATTGACAGTCTGAAATAATTCTGTCATGCCATGTTTAAAGGGTTAGTTCACCCAAAAATGAAAATTAAATATTACTCACCCCCATGCTGTACCAACCCCGTAAGACCTTCGTTCATCTTCGGAACACAAATGAAGATATTTTTGATTCAATTTGAGAGGAGGATCACCGCTACATAGGCTCCTAAGGGATTGAAACTTGACGGCCCATAAAGTCAATGAAGAAAATCTTTAAGTATTCCATGTGAAAACAGTGGCTCAAGTAGAATCTCAAGAAGCGCGAGAATTGCCAGCCCGATCTCACCGGAATTCGTACGAATTTTACGAGGTGGCTAATTCGTAACAATTTTTGCGATTTTGCTAAATCGTACATATTTTACGAATTGGCCAATTCCTATGAATTCGTACGAATGACCTACCCCTTACCCCACCCCTAAACCTACCCATCACGTGGGTTAAGACAAATCGTTCGAATTCGTACGAGTGAGGTCGTACGAATTAGCCACTTTTTAATCATTCGTCGAATTCGTACGAATTGGTCGTGAGATAAGGTAGTCGGATCTCCTTCAACTCTACTTCAGTTCAGTTCTCGCGCATGCGTCGTGGAAATCTCTTGAACTCTCGTCTCAGGCCTACAAGGAAGAAAAGGAATAGTCAAATAAAGTCGTTATTTTTGTTGTTTTTTTCGCACAAAAAGTATTCTCGTCGCTTGATAAACTTATAGTTAAGCCACTGTTGTCAAATGGAATATTTAAACATTTTCTTCAATGACTTTCTGGGCCGTCAAGTTTCATTCCCTTAGGCAGCCTATGTAGCAGCGATCCAGCTCTCAAATGTAATCAAAAATATCTTCATTTGTGTTCCGAAGATGAACGAAGGTCTTACGGGGTTGGTACAGCATGGGGGTGAGTAATTAATGACTTAATTTTCATTTTTGGGTGAACTAACCCTTTAAGTCCCTGGACTGGTAGCAGCATCGTCTTTTATGTGAAGCATTAATTGGACCCTGAATAGCACTATTTTTCTCGCTGATGCGTGTTTTTATGGAACATGGGCGACACTCTTCTGTAAGTTACGTCTCCCCCCTTTTTCTTTCTTCACAGTTGCATATCAGAAAGCCATAAGCAGAACATCATCACGGTGTCCAATAATGTTTGTGTGTTCACAGGCACTTACAATGCAAGAATGACACATGCCTGTAGTAGCTTGCAGTCCAAACCTCCTCCTTTACTGATCCAAACCACAGAAAGGAGCGGAGTGAGAGAGCGAAAGCAATAACAGCAAGTCAGAAAAGAGGGAAAGTCCTGAAACAGAATACTGAATAAAAGATGCAGGGGAAAGAAAATGTAAAGAAAGTGAAAATCAATCAAATATGAATCAAAAGGAGAATGAGAGAAAGAGAGAGGAATGATATTTTGGACCAACTTTGGATTGGAATGGCATTTTGGCCCGAAGGGAACATGATTGAGGAGTTTGCCCCGAGCTGATTTGAGAGCGTGCACTGTAATTCTGAATGCCATTGGGCGGATCCTTTTTTTTTTTTTGTAAAAGCTGTAATTTTGACAAATTGTTGTACAGTGTATATAAGTAAGTTGTTCAAATCCAGATTTTGTAGATATTGAACTGCAATCATGGCAGGGTTTGTACATCCTGCGAGCGTTTGGCATGGACGAAAAGGACAAACACGCAAACTCACGTAACTTTGCTGACATTTTTAACAGATGTGCGCGCACACGCGCTGGCTTGTGTGCATCGTTTTTTTTTTCCCGTTTTTTTCACAGTAGAAAACTGTGTTTTACTTTTTCAAAATATCAGTTTTTCTGCTCATATTTTTTGTATTGTATTTTTATTTTGTTTCGTTAAGTTTATATTATAGAAAAAGGGAATTACTTCTGCCACCTTAGTGCAGAGGGAGTTATTTTTATTAATTTGTTTGTTTGATTCGTTTTAATTTCATTTTTGATTCATGTTGTTCTGTTGACTGTGCAAAAACAGTATTACGTGTAAGTGTACATGCTTTTCTTCAATCCTGGATTTTTTTTTTTGTTTTTTTTTTTAATCAATGCTAAAATAAAAAAAAGAATATTGATCAAACTGAATATCACTTTTAAGTTTATGGGTGATTTTTTTTAAAGACATAAAAATCAATGTTAACCTAATACATTTACTTTGTTCTTACTAAATGTCTCGTTCATGCTCATGATCTTTTTGGTTCACTTTCTTAAAAAAACTGTTTTGGTACTTTACTTAAAGGTGCATTGCGCAACATTTCATGTTAAAAATACCCATTTTTCTATCCCATAGATTGCCTGATGGGCTGAATGAGTCCATCTCTGATCACTGTGATTGCCTCTATAATCCTGTACAGTAAAATAAATAAGAGGGATTCAGGAATAGAGTTTGAGACTGGGCGTAACGTCATTCACGTTCACGCTCGACTGGCAAGTTTGTGTATTCGCCGTCATTCTCTGTATAAGAGAAGACAACACAAGCGACAAACTTTAGCCAACTTTCAACAAAAGTAGAAGATGGATTCAAAGAGACCGGCTTGTACTTCATTCCAAACCCCAACGCAAACTGTTATTTATTTTAAACTGCCAGGCGTCGGAATAAGACTGCCACTGCTTCTTTGGCCGGCCACATGGTCATCGTCGGGGTGGTGATAGATTATAGGCCGTTGTCTTGCTGCATCCTTGGGTTGGTAGCCCACGTCTACTTTTCACGCCATTTGGGCGGGGACAGAATGCGTCGCCTATGGGGGACGCCCTAGCAGTCAGATCCAAATGTCGTTGTAGCATTGATCAAACCCGATCAAATTAATCCTCGTTTTCCGGCCGGCACCTCGTGGAGGTGGTGATGGGATTTTGCCGGCCATATTGTGTGGAAGTCTCAGGACCAAAAAGTGGTAAGTCACCCAGATACTTTTCACCTACTGTTTTATTAATACTATGGCTGCGTTTACCTTCCCCTCAGGAGAATCCCCACCGCCATTTTGAAGTGCGTTCAACTTCCTTAAGTGTTTTTGGACAGACCTTCGACTGTGACCAAAGGAGCGAATCTACTCAAAATGTACACTTCAGGCAGATACACACTCTAGTGTTATTTTGACATTTAACTGCATTTAATACTTGCAGCTCCCTTAAGCTGACTGTTACACTTAGTTTAATGTATCGTTTTCGTGTGTGTATTTTTAACAGCCCAAGGATACATTGAAGTCTAAAATGGTCAAGTCAAGTCAAAGAAGATGGTAAAAAAAAAAAAAAAAAGATAGTAAAAATAATCCAATTAGCTCGTGGAAGAATGCTGACACTAACAAGAACAATGGTGTGACAGTAGGTTGGAAATCAACCTTTTGAAAGAGGATAACCGGACAATAGATTCTAGTCTTAATTGTTTTTTGCAATTCGTTCCAATCGTTTGCTGACGAAAACTGAAAAGAGAGTCTGCCAAAGCAAGTATGGACTTTGGTGGTATTCAATGAGATAAACCTACTTGAACGCAAATTGCGAGATGGAGAAGCTACAGTACAGAAATTAAATTTCTTAAATAGGTAGGGGCTTTGCCTAAGAGGATGTTGTAAATGAGGAGAAACCAGTGTGTCTGACGTTGAATATGAAGGGAGGGCCAGCCAATAAGTGTGTAGAGGTTACAATGATGAGTACGAAACAGAGAGTTAATTGATATAGTCCATCTAGCTTTCTCAGTAGAGTGTTTGAGGCTGATCTGTAGACCACATCACCAAAGTCTAAGATGGGAAGAATAGTCATATTCACCAGGGCATGTTTAGCTGGAATAGTAAACGAGGCCCTATTACGAAAGAGAAAGCCGATCCTTGATTTTATTTTAGATTGGTGTTTGTTGATATGGGTATGGAAGGAAAGTGAAGAATTTAACCATATCCCTAAGTATTTATATGAATAAACAAAGTCCAATACAGACCCATCAAGGGTAGAGATGATTTTTGTGCAGGGAGGTCCAGAAAGAGAACGAATAAAAATCATACATTTAGTTTTGCCAGAGTTTAAAAGTAAATGGAGACCGCGGAATGAATGCTGTATGCTATCAAAGCTCGCTTGGAGTTTGTCTAACGCAGTGTTCATAGTTGGGCCAGAGGTGTAAAGAATGGTGTCATCTGCATATAGATGTATCTTAGAATCTCCTACAGCTAGGGCAACATAATTAAAGTAAACAGAAAAGAGTATCGGCCCAAGAATAGAACCTTGTGGTACCACTATAGAAACAGCCACAGGACTAGATAGTCGACCCTCAGATTTAACACAATGAAATATATCTATAAAATAGTTATTGAACCAGGCGAGGCATTGATTTGAAAGACCCAGTCTCTTTATCATACCAATAAGAATT